ACTGGTCCCCTGGGTGGTTGAGTTGCGTGTGTACTGGCCCCTGGGTGGTTGTGTTGCGTGTGTACTGGTCCCCTGGGTGGTTGCGTTGCGTGTGTACTGGTCCCCTGGGTGGTTGCGTTGCGTGTGTACTGGTCCCCTGGGTGGTTGTGTTGCGTGTGTACTGGTCCCCTGGGTGGTTGTTGTGTTGCGTGTGAACTGGTCCCCTGGGTGGTTGTGTTGCGTGTGTACTGGTCCCCTGGGTGGTTGTTGTGTTGCGTGTGTACTGGTCCCCTGGGTGGTTGTTGTGTTGCGTGTGTACTGGTCCCCTGGGTGGTTGTGTTGCGTGTGAACTGGTCCCCTGGGTGGTTGTGTTGCGTGTGAACTGGTCCCCTGGGTGGTTGTTGTGTTGCGTGTGTACTGGTCCCCTGGGTTGTTGTTGTGTTGCGTTTGTACTGGTCCCCTGGGTGGTTGTGTTGCGTGTGTACTGATCCCCTGGGTGGTTGTTGTGTTGCGTGTGAACTGGTCTTTGTTTATTGATTCATTATAAACCAATATTTATTATAATAATTATTTTTTCTAATTAAGGAAAGTATGGTGGAAATGAATTATATAAAATACGGAGACAACGGAAAAATAAACACATAAGCAGTATAATGTGATCCTTTACTGACAACGAAATCCACACAATGGATTTTATCAAGCCACAAACAGATCTACCTGGGTGAAAGGTATGTGAGTATTTACAGGATGGAGCCAGGTGGAGAATGCTGGATGGGTTAGATCTGATAAGGACCTGCACAGGACCTGCTGGTGCCTATGTAGTTATGTGGGATAATGATGGAGTTTCTTGGCAAGGTGTTCAGCTATGTTATAGAAGCCGTTGTTCTGGTGAAGTTGTTGGATATACAGATAAGTGATGATTCCAGGATTCTTCCGTATTGAGTGTTGTCTTCTCTGGTGATAAATCTTGGGTTTCTGTATTTGATTAAATGGTCGTGTGAATTTCGGTGTTGAACACAGGCATTCCTTAAATCGTCCGATCTGCCTGCATAGTGGTGTTCTGAAATACATTTTTGTAGGTCTATGGATGTTTCGCCCATGTACAATTTACTGCAGTCATTACAAGGGATTATGTATGCCCCTGCAGAGGTTTGAAGCTTGTCCTCTCTATTACTGGTAATGTCCTTGATGGTGGATGTGGAGGTAGGTACTTTGAATGTAGTATTGGAAAAAAATGCTGAAAACGTGTTTGGCAATGGAGTTGATGGGGAGGGCTATATATTTCCTCTTGGCAGTGTCTTCTCTGGGTGTGTTAAAGATATTATATGCCCGTCGTCTGCAGTCTAGAAGTGACGAGGATAATGAAGTTTAGAAAATACTTGTTAAATAAGAGAGCATTCTTCCTCAAGGAACTCACTGCTGCAGATCTGCAGTGCCTATAATTGCAGAACGTTTAATTTTGGTGTCGTGGCGAGAGAAGTGGAGATCATCATCTTGGTGGGTTTTCGATAGACTTTAAAACGAAGTTCATGGTCAGCTTTTCAGAGAAGAACACCAAGGAAAGGAAGAGTGTTGCCGACTTCAAGTATAAACTGAATTGAGGACTTGACCTGGTTGAGCATGTTGGAGAGCTTGAACGTTGAAGCGTCTGGGAGTTATGATGAGAATATTGTCAATATAACGGTGCCAGGTGACAGAAGAGGGAATAATAGTGGAAAATCGCTCGGCTTCCAGATGTTCCATGTATAGCTTCGCCAGTACGACACTAAGTGGCGCAGAGTTCGGGAATCGTCACATATCTGTATATCCAACAACTTCAACCAAAACAACGGCTTCTATAACATAGCTGAACCCCTTGCCAAGAACCTTCTTCATCGTTATCTCACATAACTACATACGCACTCGCTAGTCCTGTGCAGGTCCTTATCAGGTCCAACCTACCCAGCATTCTCCGCCTGACTCCAACCTATAAATACTCGCGAACCTTTCACCCAGGTAGATCTGTTTGTGACTTGATAAAGTCCACTGTGTGAGCGAAACGTTGTCATTAAAGGATCACATTATACTGCTTGTGTTTATTTTTCCAAATGCTTTCTATCCAAGGTTGATGGACTGATTACATCATTTTTATTTCATTACTACTGCTCCCTTTGTATTTGACTGAAGAAGTCTACTGTGTAAGCGAAACGTGTCATTAAAAAAAGATACCCAGTTGTTGCACATATGTCTTAATCTTCAAGACTGGAGTCATTTACACCGATAACTTGTACCATTGCTCAATCGCTAGCGCACTCAGCTCACACACTGAGGTCCGGGGGTTGATCCCCGGTACGGGTGGAAGCATTAGGATGTGTTTCCTTAAGATACCTGCTGACCATGTTCATCTATCAGTGAAATAGGTAAATGATGTTATTGGACTGGTGTAGGTCGCATCCTGAGGACAAAATTGACCTAATTTGCCCGAAATGCTCTGCATGCAGAGAGCGTTCTATATACCAGCATGTGATTTATGTTACCTAAACTTGTATACATTGCTCTTCCTGCACGACTGACAGCACTGGTCGTGGCTTGCTCTTCCTGCACGACTGACAGCACTGGTCGTGGCTTGCTCTTCCTGCACGACTGACAGCACTGGTCGTGGCTTTCTCGTCCTGCACGACTGACAGCACTGGTCGTGGCTTGCTCTTCCTGCACGACTGACAGCACTGGTCGTGGCTTGCTCTTCCTGCACGACTGACAGCACTGGTCGTGGCTTGCTCTTCCTGCACGACTGACAGCACTGGTCGTGGCTTTCTCGTCCTGCACGACTGACAGCACTGGTCGTGGCTTGCTCTTCCTGCACGACTGACAGCACTGGTCGTGGCTTGCTCTTCCTGCACGACTGACAGCACTGGTCGTGGCTTGCTCTTCCTGCACGACTGACAGCACTGGTCGTGGCTTGCTCTTCCTGCACGACTGACAGCACTGGTCGTGGCTTGCTCTTCCTGCACGACAGCACTGGTCGTGGCTTGCTCTTCCTGCACGACTGACAGCACTGGTCGTGGCTTGCTCTTCCTGCACGACTGACAGCACTGGTCGTGGCTTGCTCTTCCTGCACGACTGACAGCACTGGTCGTGGCTTGCTCTTCCTGCACGACTGACAGCACTGGTCGTGGCTTGCTCTTCCTGCACGACTGACAGCACTGGTCGTGGCTTGCTCTTCCTGCACGACTGACAGCACTGGTCGTGGCTTGCTCTTCCTGCACGACAGCACTGGTCGTGGCTTGCTCTTAGTGCACGACTAACAGCACTGGTCGTGGCTTGCTCTTCCTGCACGACTGACAGCACTGGTCGTGGCTTGCTCTTCCTGCACGACTGACAGCACTGGTCGTGGCTTACTCTTCCTGCACGACTGACAGCACTGGTCGTGGCTTACTCTTCCTGCACGACTGACAGCACTGGTCGTGGCTTGCTCTTCCTGCACGACTAACAGCACTGGTCGTGGCTTGCTCTTCCTGCACGACTGACAGCACTGGTCGTGGCTTGCTCTTCCTGCACGACTAACAGCACTGGTCGTGGCTTGCTCTTCCTGAACGACTGACAGCACTGGTCGTGGCTTGCTCTTCCTGCACGACTGACAGCACTGGTCGTGGCTTGCTCTTCCTGCACGACTGACAGCACTGGTCGTGGCTTGCTCTTCCTGCACGACTGACAGCACTGGTCGTGGCTTGCTCTTCCTGCACGACTGACAGCACTGGTCGTGGCTTTCTCGTCCTGCACGACTGACAGCACTGGTCGTGGCTTGCTCTTCCTGCACGACTGACAGCACTGGTCGTGGCTTGCTCTTCCTGCACGACTGACAGCACTGGTCGTGGCTTGCTCTTCCTGCACGACTGACAGCACTGGTCGTGGCTTGCTCTTCCTGCACGACTGACAGCACTGGTCGTGGCTTGCTCTTCCTGCACGACTGACAGCACTGGTCGTGGCTTGCTCTTCCTGCACGACTGACAGCACTGGTCGTGGCTTGCTCTTCCTGCACGACAGCACTGGTCGTGGCTTGCTCTTCCTGCACGACTGACAGCACTGGTCGTGGCTTGCTCTTCCTGCACGACTGACAGCACTGGTCGTGGCTTGCTCTTCCTGCACGACTGACAGCACTGGTCGTGGCTTGCTCTTCCTGCACGACTGACAGCACTGGTCGTGGCTTGCTCTTCCTGCACGACTGACAGCACTGGTCGTGGCTTGCTCTTCCTGCACGACTGACAGCACTGGTCGTGGCTTGCTCTTCCTGCACGACTGACAGCACTGGTCGTGGCTTGCTCTTCCTGCACGACTGACAGCACTGGTCGTGGCTTGCTCTTCCTGCACGACTGACAGCACTGGTCATGGCTTGCTCTTCCTGCACGACTGAGAGCACTGGTCGTGGCTTGCTCTTCCTGCACGACTGACAGCACTGGTCGTGGCTTGCTCTTCCTGCACGACTGACAGCACTGGTCGTGGCTTGCTCTTCCTGCACGACTGACAGCAACTAGTAGATGAAAAACAAGACTCCATATGCATTCACTTTTGGACGTGTACGTATATTTGAAACGTTTCGGTCCTGGGAGCTTGGTCGGTCCTCATGTACAAAAGCTTAGATCACATAAGCTTATTTAGTCGTGAAGTTCCTGACAATAACAAACTGTACCATCTGTTTTCTTGCGCAACAGTCCCCAAAAAAATCCATATTGGAATCAAGATTTTATTTTTTTAATGTGTGAAAAAAAATTCATATGAAGATTTAATAAAAAAATCAGCTGTTTTCTTAGATATTTTCTTTATAAAATTTAGTTTCATTTCTCTCTTCTTGAAAATGGTTATTATATCATGGTACTAGAGGAGCACTGCAGTAGGCCTACAGGCGCACGCTAGACAGGTTCTATAATCACTCAACCATTCCCATATATATTACGCACTTGCAAGATTTGCTACAGTGGTCGCTTTAGCTACACTAGCTCATAGTTTCTTCTACTCACACACATTAATATTTTGTTATTTTTCAGGTGTGGTTTCAAAATGCTCGGGCGAAATGGCGGCGACAAATGGTTTCCAAAGACCCGAAAGCTCTGTCTGGGGGCGGCGGTGAAGGCGGGCTGAGCGAGGGTCAGCAGGGCGAGGGGTCAGCGGGAGACTACCCAGACACGCCCACCGTCCCGCCCTCAGCCATGAGCCCTGAGGAAGGCAACAGCTCACAGATCTCCTACCAACAGATGTTCTGACACCTGTCCTTCTCGGAGAGCGACGCCCACCTGCAACACCCGCCCCCACACATGCTGCTCCCTCCCACTCTTCTCTCCCTCCAGCAGTCTCTCTCCCCACGCCCACACGCCCCAGGGGAGCACGCCTCCTCTTCCACCTCTCCGGGACACCTCTCACACGCCATGATGGCCGCTAGCTCTTTCTTTAGCGAGGGACACCAGCACTCAGGCATGAAGAAACATTCTTCGTCTTCTTTCTCCGTTGTGAGTGAAGAGGACGATACATACAGTGTGGGCAACCAGTCCTCCAGTCAAGACATGTTCTTTGACGGCAGCTCTTCGTCTCCTCTGCCTGGTGCCCCCTCCTCCATCCCAGGCCCTGACGCCCTCAAGGAGGAGAGCGACCAAGTGGAAGAGGACGAGTTTGAAGAGGTGGAAGAAGGAGGAGAAGAGGGAGAGGGTGAAGACATAGCCAGGAGGCACACATACCAAGAGCTCTTCTAGTTTTGCTACCCCGCACTGTCTCCAGACATTCTCAGTGATAGAACTTACAGACGTGTTGGGGTCCGGCTTAGAACTGTGGAGAAAAACAAAGGTTAAGTGTTCTGGGGCACTTATTATTGTGATTAATGGAGTTCAAAGATTTTAATGAACGCATTGTGAATTCCCACACTGCATTGAATTATTCTAGTGATGTGACACTCAGAATGCGTACGTGATGTAACGCTTGGAGTGTGTGTATGTAACGTGCAGAAAGTGCGTACAGACATTCAGGTTCTGGACACGAACTTGCGTCATGCATTTACATAGTTCTTTATATTGCCAGTCTATTTATTGCTATACCTCGCGAGGGTAGCACCTTACCTGTGAAGTTCTCAAGCCTGTTGGACCGCCTCTGGCCCAACGGGGATTCCACAGTCTCCATTCTTTGTAGTATTTAATACGACTAGCGTCAACATGCTTCGTCACACTAAACTCACTCACTCTCTCTCTCTATCTTAAGTTCTTCAAAGAAGGCTTCCCCTAAACCAGAACTCTAATTTACATACTGCAGTCAGGGGTAACTCAAGCTGCCTGCGAGTGCTAGCTGGTTAGTGATCTCTTGTGGACCTGCTGGTCCAGCATGTGATATGCCCAGCTAGTGTTCTCTGCGAGGCTTGCTGTTGTAGCTTACGCACTCTGCAAGCTCTGCTACTCTAACTAGGAGTCTTAGCCAGGACTGCTGCCCTAGCTAGTAAAACTTACTAAGTCTGCCACTTCTAGCTAGAGGCTCCTGCAAGATCTGCCCCCCTAGTTAGTGGTTCCTAGTAGGTCTTCTGCCAAGAAAGTGGTCTAGCCGTGCTAGGTCTACCCTTTCCCCACCGTCTCTGCCTGATAAAAAGTCCGCGGCTCTAGTATTCGCTCCTCTTGCAAGTAACGAGCCACGAACGTCCAGCTCCTTTAAGAGAGGCAAGGTTTGGCATCAAGCACAGCCTCGTCTTGCTCTCTTCTAGGCTTGACTGCATTCACCAACACTCCCACAACACTTCTATCTTACCATTAAATCTAGGCCAACCACCAGCAGTGAATCTCGCAACGCTAACTTGTGTGTATGTGTATGAGTGGGTATGTGTATGTGTATGTGTGTGTGGTGTGGTTCTCGTGAGTGGTCAGTAGTAAGTACGATCCATCGAATGAGTTAAATGCACCAGTCATTAGACCCATTTGTGAGGAATACCAAATGCCTTTCCATTCATATCATGAAGTCAGATCATTCACTCACTCTACGGATGCTGCCCTACTCATCCAATCTCAGCGGTATCACAGATTCCTCTCAGTCTTGTTTCACAGTCCTCAACCAGCTGTCCATACTCCAGTTGTGTTATTCAGACCTCATTCACTCCAGGTGTGCCATGAAGTCCTAACTTCAATAGAATCAGTTTTCAAGTTCCACTAGCGTTATATAGACGTGTAATTAAGGCGTCACCTGTACCTCTACTCCACTATTTATCATAAATATTGATATGAAGACTTTTATTTAATCCAGTAATGCCGACTGACTTAAAAAATCCCAATCTCAGAGCTTGTTTGCCATCGTGGTGCACGGATGCAGATGTGGAGTTTCCAATTAACTGAGCCTGGTTCGAGTCCGCTTGATCCTTTGTTAACACAGTATTCGGAATACACAATATTTGGAAATCGCTACTAACCCATAGGGGTCATACAGCGCCTGGCGAATTTAAGGTAAGCACGTTTGATCTAAGGAAAGGGAGATTAGGTCCAACATTCTTGATCAAGAGAACTTCACCACCATTAAGGCATCTCATCTGAAGGGTACTACTAAATTTTTTTACTTCCACGAAAGTGTAAAATCTTAGTTTTCCAATAATACCATTGGTGTTATACAATTTTTCCCTCCAGTGGAATAGTCCTACAGTGGTGTTATGCGGTACTCACTCCACTGGTGTTATACGCACATAATTAACTCTAATAGAGGCATATACTCATTCATTGTAGTGGAGTATTACAGTTGTGTCACCCAGATATTGTCTTGTCATCACTGCAGGGATGATATACAGAGTTCAGTCAGTCATGTGTACTCATTACTTATTCCAGTGATGTCATTCAGTCCTCTCATTCCAGTGGTTCAATCACCTCAGTGATATCATAGACATCTTTCACTGCAGCTGTGGGGTACACACTCACCACTCACGTGAACGATGCACACTGACAGTCCTCATTCATGTTGAATGTATCTCTGACGACTGTGTAGGTGTACACTATATAATATATATCTGTGACATATGTTGACTTTTTGTGACCCCTAATAACTGGTTTTAATGTAGTTAAGTGCGGCTGGTCTTATGAATGGTATTTAGTAATGTAGCAGAAAATGCAATCGCATTAATCACAGAGAAACTAATTCATTCCAGGTCACCATTAAGGGTGATAACTCTGTCCAGGTGATGGTTTGACTGTTAAACGTTGCCTACAAGTATGGTAAGGAAAGAGAATTTGCAGAGCATTATTATAATAATCATAACTAAGCACTAATCCGAAAATGATCACACAGTGCTGCAGGGTAGGATATGCTAAAGGTGTAATATGTCTGATCATAGACTAGCGAGGGTGAAGAGTATAGCAAAAGTAAAGTTAGTAAGGGTGGTGAAGAGTGCTAGAGGAAATATACTCAAAGTCGGTGTGAAAAAGTCGTTGCTTACAAGCCAAAGAGTGTGTCAAAGATGGGAATTTGCAGAGCAAATGATGATGTTTGATAAGGAATTGGTCTGCAAACTCTCTTTCTTGACCGTACTTTGGAGCTTCATACAAACTGGTCATCAGTATTAGGTCTCATCGCTCTGCCCCTGACGAGAACTGGTTATGTGGCGCACAAAAAGCCGACCCTGATCCTTTGGTTTGTGTGTGAATATTATGTACTGTTAGCGAGTTCTTGTAAGTGAACTCATGATTCATGGCGGAGTAACTTAATGGTGTAAACATTGGTTGGTAATACCCAACTCCAAGATTTTCTTTTTAAATACATTTCTCTTTTCTTATTGTTTATGCCTGTAACGTATTTTATTTGGTAGATCCTCAGTTGTCTGCAATATAAACTGACTGGCAAATGGTGCCGAGAAGTATGGTAGAAAGTGAGTTTGCAAAAGTATTCTTCGTTCTGATTACGTTCCACTTAATACTGAGCGAAACGTCGTCGGAATATAGGCTTACTTTCTAAACTGATTGTCTTCACCGTGTCTGTAACATAAACCTTCAAGGGCATTTTCTTCATCTATGTTGTGGTATTTCCCCGCCCCCTTTTTTTTTTTTTCGTTTGAGTTACACGTCCTCAGTTCTCTAGACTAAAATTTTTCGCAAGCAATTTCTTTTAATTCCCTTATTTTAATTGGTACATTTTTTTTCCATTACACAATTTTCTACAAGATTTTTCTTTATATTTCCATGTCACCGCTTTGTCTTCAGAAATATTTCTGTGTCCCGTGTTCTTAAATGAACATTTTTTTTACGAGTCTCTCCCACTTTGGATTTTAGTTTGAGAAGGAAATTTTTCACATTTTCTGGTTTGTTCATCAAATAAAAAAAAATGAGAATTTATCATGGATTCAGTGAACCAGTCCTTCATAACTGCAAAAAAAAAAAAAAAAAAAAAAAATCATTGTCTCGTTCTAATTTTTCTTCCATATTATTAATACGTCAGTATTTTGCAAAAATATTCACACTTTATACAGGAAAATTTTGGCAGCAGCTGAGGTACCAACAGAATGTTAAAAAATAAAACCCATGTAAAGATGAACTTGGGCAGAATACTTGAAGTCGACCAAGTGTTCACCAGGAGTATCGTCAACTGTCTAGTTTATAAGACCGGTCTCCAATTATTGCTTGTTATGATTCACTCTAAGTGTTCGCTCTTCATCTGTACAAATGATTCTCGATCTTTCAAAGTCAATAAATCGTCTAATTTTACCTCCACTGTGTTTAATTTTTTTTCCCTCAAATCACAAATTTTCTTGCAGAGCAACGTTCGAAAGATTCAGCTCCACATTTTGTTGTAGTTATAGTCTTTTAGTGCCTGGGGAATAAGATATATTCTGACTCACGAAATCTTAGTAACACGATTGCAAACAAACCACGGTACGGGTGGGGTTCGAGTCCATGGCAGGTAAATGAGTCGTAAAACTCTAGGCCAGTGCTTAACTCATTGGCTCAGTGGCTTACGCACTGACCTAGAGTTTTACGACTCTCTTTCCGCCATGAGTTCTAACCCCACCCGTACCGTGGTTTAATAGATATTCTGGTTCGATCCAAGGAAAAGATAAATCCAATTCCTTGGATTAAAAATCCCCCTTCAATGGCATCAAGGAGGTCCCTTAACGCCTGTGATTACAAAGATTACATTGATTACAAAAAACAATGAGCGAAATTCCAAAAGCCTTATAAAAGTGCAGAGTAGCAACCCTTCATGCAGGAAGCAGCAGAGTTATGTCAAAAACTAACACACAAGTCGTACTAACATTACTCATCTTGGAAAGGATACAGACGCTAAATTATTGTGAAGGGAAAACACGATCTACTACATAAGCAAGGTTCACTAGAGTCAATGCTGGCAATTTTAAACGGGTTCTCGTCTCCACCATAGGACCGACGCTGATGCAAAAATATAATGACCTTGTTACGTCTTGCGTCAGGTTCAACCTTTCTCTCTTTCTTGAACGATCCTAAAGAATTACTGCATGGCACTAAAAGTATAGCTTACCGCTATTTTGGCGTATATTTATCTCGAAAAACTAAAGAAACACTGACTCAACATGGTTCTACGCAACATCACACGTTCTGGTGTTCGCGTAAACATTTTTGACCTTTATCGATTCAAGGACGCTCATGGAATCCTCTGTTCAGTTCACCATGGAAATATTCCTCCACTTAAACACTAAGAATACTGTAAACCAACAGATCAGGACGATTATGTTCATTTCTTTACTCATTTCCTCACTTAGACTGGGCGTGGAGTCATAAGCGTTTTTCTTCCAGCCCTCAGGATCTGTAATGTTGAACCACTGGCAGATGAACAGAAATGAACAGAGAACACTTTCTCCGTTCTTGAATTAACTCTATACTCTATCAATCTCGCCTGCAAATGGAAGGCTCTACGAATTCACAACACTCCTGGGAAACGCCATATCAACGACCGTCGTCTCGTTCTACCAAAAAAACATGCAGCTGCACCCATCACTCTCAATTATCTAGATTCCATCATGGATACGGTTATTGTTGCTTCTAAAACTATTAAAAAAAGATCAACAGTCTTCTCAGGTCCGAAAGCACCACTGAAGCGGGTTGTCTACTCTACAGTATTCCCGGTGCACAATGCAGTAAACATTACGTTGGTGAGACAGGCGTGACCTTGGAACTGTCGAATACAGTGTGGAATGAATAATGCCACAAAGTGCTTGTCGCCCACCCCAGGATACATTCCCTGTTCATAACGAACCGGGGAAACCTACAACAACTCTTAGATAAAAACAACAAACTAAATCAAGATCGTTATTTATCGAAGCTTTATCAAAATATTATTTAGACAACGTATCCAACTGCTACCTTTGTTTCTTTATGAACTAATAACGACATCCTTGGAGATTTTAGTAACGACACCGTTGGAGACGCTGACAACAACCTTTCATGGACATGTTTCTAACATCGATATCATGAGTCATTATTAAAACGATATTGTTGGAGACGTTAATAGCAACAGAGATTTTAATAAAAACGGAATTGCAGGAGACGATAATAGTACAGATATCGTTGAAAATGTAAACATCGTTGAAGTCGTTGGAAAATTCAACTTTCATGACATCAACATTATAAAATTTCTTGAATCCTGTTTGATACCTGAGTTGTTTATGATCATGCCTGTTCCCTCAGTTGTTTACAGTCCTGTCTGTTACCTGTTTACGATGTCTATTACAACTTAACGAGTTATTACCAAATTAAATGGAATCAAGCTGATATTTAACTAGGAAATAAACTTACATTAACTGGGAAACAAATATAATGTTTAAAAACATTTAATGAAACATTGTAAGTTGACTGTGAACATTGAAAAATGAAAAGCCGATACATAAATAACAATACAATCTCAGACTCTTTTTATGTTAACACTGAAAATTAATATGGAGATTAAAAACAATACTTAATGTATTGAGAGAGACAATAGCTCAGACAGACATATCAACAGCAAAACAATGCTTGTCTGGATAAAGACAGAATAATTAACAGAGATTAGAGGGCAAGGTTAAACATGTCTTACATTACAGTAACCTTTACCCATCTTTTCCTATTCTCCTCCTTGTGATAACAGCCACAAAAAGATACATTTGGGAATAGTTTAAGTAAAAAATTCAGTAATACACACTATGAAAAATACTCAGCACAATGCTGATGCAACAAAAGCCAAACAGAACTCAGATAATATTGGGCAAAAACAAAGCATAACAGAGGTAACAGGACAGAAACAAAACAGTTAACTGGTAAATGAGCAAAAAACAAGACATGTAAGAAATCTCACGAGAAAAAAATATCCTGATGATAATGCAGACCACAAGAGATGAGAGAAAGAATGAGAAATATCAGAGGAAGTGAACACCAGGAATGAGAAACATCAGAGGCAGTGAACACCAGGAATGAGAAACTTCAGAGGCATTGAACAGGAATGAGAAACATCAGACGCATTGAACACCAGGAATGAGAAACATCAGAGGCATTGAACACCAGGAATGAGAAACATCAGAGGCAGTGAACACCAGGAATGAGAAACAGAGGCAGTGAATACCAGGAATGAGAAACACCAGAGGCAGTGAACACCAGGAATGAGAAACAGAGGCAGTGAATACCAGGAATGAGAAACACCAGAGACAGTGAACACCAGGAATGAGAAACATCAGAGGCAGTGAACACCAGGAATGAGAAACATCAGAGGCAGTGAACACCAGGAATGAGAAACATCAGAGGCAGTGAACACCAGGAATGAGAAACATCAGAGCAGTGAACACCAGGAATGAGAAACATCAGAGGCAGTGAACACCAGGAATGAGAAACAGAGGCAGTGAACACCAGGAATGAGAAACAGAGGCATTGATCAGGAATGAGAAACATAAGAGGCATTGAACACCAGGAATGAGAAACAGAGGCAGTGAACACCAGGAATCAAAAACATAAGCGACACTGAACACCAGGAATGAGAAACATCAGAGGCAGTGAACACAAGGAATGAGAAACACCAGAGGCAGTGAACACCAGGAACGAGAAACAGAGGCAGTGAACACCAGGAATGAGAAACATTAGAGGCAGTGAAAACCAGGAATGAGAAATATCAGAGGCAGTGAACACCAGGAATGAGAAACATCAGAGGCAGTGAACACCAGGAATGAGAAACATCAGAAGCATTGATCAGGAATGAGAAACATCAGAGGCAGTGAACACCAAGAATGAGAATCAGAGGCATTGAACACCATGAATGAGAAACATCAGAGGCGGTGAACACCAGGAATGAGAAACATCAGAGACACTGAACACCAGGAATCAGAAACATCAGAGGCAGTGAACACCAGGAATCAGAAACATCAGAGGCAGTGAACACCAGGAATCAGAAACATCAGAGGCAGTGAACACACCAGGAATGAGAAACATCAGAGGCAGTGAACACCAGGATGAGAAACATCAGAGGCAGTGAACACCAGGATGAGAAACAGAGGCAGTGAACACACCAGGAATGAGAAACATCAGAGGCAGTGAACACCAGGAATGAGAAACATCAGAGGCAGTGAACACCAGGAATGAGAAACATCAGAGGCATTGAACACCAGGAATCAGAAACATCAGAGGCAGTAAACACCAGGAATCAGAAACATCAGAGGCAGTGAACACCAGGAATCAGAAACATCAGAGGCAGTGAACACCAGGAATCAGAAACATCAGAGGCAGTGAACACCAGGAATTAGAAACATCAGAGGCAGTGAACACCAGGAATCAGAAACATCAGAGGCAGTGAACACCAGGAATCAGAAACATCAGAGGCAGTGAACACACCAGGAATGAGAAACATCAGAGGCAGTGAACACCAGGAATGAGAAACAGAGGCAGTGAACACCAGGAATGAGAAACAGAGGCATTGATCAGGAATGAGAAACAGAGGCAGTGAACAACAGGAATCAAAAACATAAGCGACACTGAACACCAGGAATGAAAAACATCAGAGGCAGTGAACACCAGGAATGAGAAACAGAGGCATTGAACACCAGGAATGAGAAACAGAGGCAGTGAACACCAGGAATCAAAAACATAAGCAACACTGAACACCAGGAATGAGAAACATCAGAGGCAGTGAACACCAGGAATCAGAAACATCAGAGGCAGTGAACACCAGGAATGAGAAACATCAGAGGCAGTGAACACCAGGAATCAGAAACATCAGAGGCAGTGAACACCAGGAATGAGAAACATCAGAGGCAGTGAACACCAGGAATGAGAAACATCAGAGGCAGTGAACACCAGGAATGAGAAACATCAGAGGCAGTGAACACCAGGAATGAGAAACATCAGAGGCAGTGAACACCATGAATGAGAAACATCAGAGGCAGTGAACACCAGGAATGAGAATCAGAGGCGTTGAACACCATGAATGAGAAACATCAGAGGCGGTGAACACCAGGAATGAGAAACATCAGAGACACTGAACACCAGGAATCAGAAACATCAGAGGCAGTGAACACCAGGAATCAGAAACATCAGAGGCAGTGAACACCAGGAATCCGAAACATCAGAGGCAGTGAACACCAGGAATTAGAAACATCAGAGGCAGTGAACACCAGGATGAGAAACATCAGAGGCAGTGAACACACCAGGAATGAGAAACATCAGAGGCAGTGAACACCACGAATGAGAAACAGACACTGAACACCAGGAATGAG